GTGCCGCGCGGGCGAGGAGGCCACAGAGGCCGGCAGGGTGAGGCTGACCGGTGCGGGGGATCTATCCTGCTGGTGGTGTGAAGTCCGGTTTCACTGGTCCTGCAATCCAGGCTGGGGGGAAAAAGGAGGATCTCCCACCAGGGACCAGCTTGAGGCAGGGCCCCTCACCGGGGCGCCACTGGGGACGGGGACGCTGGTGTCACGGGGAGGACGGGGTGGAGAGTGACTCTCATTTGTTCTTGGCTAGCACGCGGTACAGCGTGAACCCTACCAGAGCAGTCACCGCGGCCCCCAGAGCCACCCGGAGCCAGAAGGACGCCGCTCCCAGCTCCACGGCATTCAAGTGGCTGCAAGGAAAGAGAGAGGAGAGGGCAGTGAGCGCGGTGCACAGAGACGGCCGACCAAACGCCAAGCTCCCCAACGGCCCGGGGTGCTTCCACCCCAAGCAGGGAGGTTGGGGTGTCCCTGGAGGGGCAGAGGGCGACCGCGCCGCAGCTCCAGGCCGGTGGATACAGCCGAAGGCAAAGAGTGGCAAGAGGCTCCCCCAGCCCCAACACCCAGAGAGGCTGCTGCCCGGCATCATCGTCACCATCAAGGCAAAGGCTGGCTCCCCGCCCCGCCGGTGGGACGGTTGTGGCTTTACCCTCTCTGGAAATAGCACACCAACACCTAAATAATTAGTACGGGCAAGGAGGGACGGATCTGCCTTTCTAGGTCAAGATGCTTTTACAACTCCGAGTGCACCGAGACCCAGAAGCGGATGCGGGCAGTAGCGGTGCCACAGCCGGCGACAGGGCAGCGAGGAAAGGGGCCCAGTCCCGCCTGAGCGTACGCCTTCCCTTCCCAAACACGTGCTATCCTGCATCAATGTGCTCCTCTCTGAGGAGGAAAGACATATCCATTATTCATTCCCCACTAAATCAGGGGAGAACAGCCAATCCCTGGCCCTCCATTACGCTGTTATTTATTTATACCACATACCCTAAGATATATTAAGAATATTTAAATTTTAATACTGCAGAGGGGAAAAAAAAGTGTCAGCTCTAAAAATAAAGTTGTTTATTGAAAAGAAGCTAGAGGGAAAACTACTCACTAGTAATCCCATCCTGCTTCCAACGCACCCACACGTTCTCCCCGGGAGGGCTCAGCCCCCGGCGCTGCACCGACCCTCAGCTTTCAGCCCCCTCGTGTGGAGCAATGCTGCACGCAGGCACGCTCTCCTTCCCAGATCTCCCATGACCGGCCTGGATGCCGCCCTACCCCCTTACCCAGCCCCTTTCAGGTGTGGGTCCTTCCCAAGGGAGGTGGTGTGAACAGAGGTCTCGCTTCACTGACCTCTTTTTCAGTCTGATCCACCTCATCAGGAGAAAATAGCTGCCACCCCGCCTCTGCGGGCCCTGGCAAACTAGGCTGGCTACTCCCCTTCAGCATGTTTTATCTTAGGCTTCAAAAATAAAAACTCTCGTGGCAGGATCTACCTAATAATTCTGCCAGAGACACACGCAAGGCACAAGAGAGCCTCCACCCTCTCCAAGCCGGGGAAGAAGTGGCCTTTTTGCTTCAATCATGAGCAGATGACACCAAGAGCTGGAGAGAACCCCAACCAAAAGCAACGTGGCAGAGGCAGGGCTCGGACACAGCCCCCCTCCCCAAGTTCTGCTCCCAGCCGAGAGCCCCCTCTGCAGGAAGGATACTAACGGGAAGGTGGCAGCAGTGGCCAGCTTGGTGTAGATGGTGGTGCCGGGTGGGCCCTGGCCGTGGCAGGAGAAGAGGAAGGGCGGCGGGAGGCAGTGCTTGTAGCAGAACTCGGCGGGGGACAGTCCTGGCTGCTGACTGGCTTCTGGCAGGTCTGTCTTGGAGGCCACAAAGACACAGGGGATCTGGCTGTCCAGGTAGTGTTGCTGCAGAGACAGGGAGAAGGGCCAGCGAGGGGTAAGTGACCGACCCCTGGGAGCTGCAGGGCTGCCACGCCAAGGCTGAAATCCCACAGGGCCCCTGCCAGCTACCTTATAAATACTGGCACAGTAGCGGAAGGATCTGGGGTCGCTCAGGTCATAGATGAAGCAGGCGACATCGCAGGCAGCGTCCGACGGCTTCGCGAACTTGGCGTCGGCGCTGACCTCATACAGCTGGGGCAGGGGGGGAAAGGACCGTGGCACAGCGCCGCCTCGGGGCATCGGCCGCTTCTCCCACCAGCCCACGGACTGTGCCGGCGTGACCGCAGCCCCAGCCATTTTGGGGGACGCAGCCCCGCCTTGCTGCGAGGCAGACGCAGCAGCGACTCCCTCCTCTCCCCGACTTACTATAAGGTACTTCTCCTGGCCGTTGACCTGCACCGTGTTGATGGTGTAGAGGGATGGCTCTCCCGGGTTCTCCCTCTGGGCCTGCCACCAATGAAAACACCGTCTCAGACAGCGGGGAGCAAGAGCAGCGTTTGGGGGAGGGAGAGCATTTCACACTGTCCCAAGCCCCTGCGGTGGAACGGTCACTCAAAGGCTGGCCAGAGCCTGCCACGAGAGGCGGGACTGTTTGTGACACGCAGGGAAAGCCAGCATCATCTCGGGGAGACAGGGCTGCCCAGGAAAGGCACAGCCCCTCCAGATCCTCGGGACAAGCAGAGCAGGCCTGCGGCCTTAAGCAAAACTAAGGACGCGAGAGCCACAGGAACAGGCACCACCGGCACGGAGCGGGGATGTGAAGGCCTGTGCTGGGACGCTGGGGCCTGGCCACGGGCAGGAAGGTGCTGTCACGCAGCGGGTCACTGCTCCGCCGGGACACCCTGCCAGAGCACGGCCG